ATATTTAAAAAAAGTTTAATTTCATTATATAATTTTGAGTTTTTTTTATCAGAAATAAAATTGTCTCTTATAAAATATTTGTATACTTTATTAAAAAAATTAATAAATTTTATGTCAGATTTTTTTATTATAAGAGAAACCAAACAAGAACTTAATATTTTTATATATCATAATATATTTGATAGTTTAAAATTTGCAGGTAAGATGAATTTAAGTATATATTTTAATCATATTTAATTGTTTAAAATTGATTTTATGAAAGTTTAAAATAAACAAATAATCGTTTAAAATATTTGGATTGGTCTGTAGAAAGAATAGTATAGAGAATTTTTTGAAATAAGAAATAATATTAATTTTATTACATTATCAATGTAAAAAGTTAATATTATTAACTAATTAAACTACATTATAAGTATATTTTTATATTATTTATTAAAAAATCATTTATTCTTGTTGATATGTCAATTTATTATTAATTCACAATGTAAAAAAATTTTACATTGTTAGTGTATTTGAATTAAATTCATAAGAAATATATATTTAATTTTACTGTCATGGAATTAGTAATAATAATAATTTAATTTGATCTATTCTGAAAAAAAAAATTTAGGTTATCAATTAAATTAAAAAATAATTACAAATATAACTAAATAGTAATTTCAATAATTAACAATTTTTAATGATATTATTGTAGCAATTTATAATTAAATGATAATATATTACTTGTTAGTGTATTTTAGTTAATTTCTAATAATAAATAATATATACAAATATGTGAGTATTTCATTAGTTTTTCACTATTAAATTCATGTGTATTTAATTTGGTTTAATTATATTTTAACACATAGTTGATTGTTTTAGCAACATTTGATTACAAACTTATTAAATAAATAATTCATCTACCTACTTTAAAAGATGTATTTGAGGTCAAGCAAGTTTCCTAATCCTTATCCATGATTCCATGTTAACATTCTCTCCCCTAAAATTTTGTTGCACTCTAAATACATTTTGATTGGCAAACATAGAGAGGGAAAGACAAGAAGAAGAAAATGGGTAACAAAGTGTCCGGTGTCTTGTAGGATAGGATGTTGACATTTATTTTAAATTTGATTTGTTGTTGGTGTATTTTTCTTAATATTATCATCTTATGATATCAGCACATCATTTAAAGAAAGACAAATTACACTCACATCTTGTGAGATTTAATAAAATTATATTTGATATATTTTTCTTATATTATTCCGATTCCTTGAATTCACATAACTATACAAAAATCATGAAAAATTAAAGTTAATACAAATAACATATAATATTATAACTATATAAATTGAGGAAACTTTGTACAAAGTTCAAGGGGAAAAAAAGGAAAATAAAATGTCCATAAATTTTAAAATATATGTATAACAATTTATCTTTTAAAATATTAGAGTTAGTATATATTTGTTTTAACTTTTTCCTTAATTTTCAGATTAGCTATTAGAAACATGCATTTACATAGCAAAACAAAAAAACATACTAGGTAGTAGGGTTGGTTTAATAATAGGCTAGCATGTGATGGCTAAATGTACACTTAATTATAAGTTTCGATCTTATTTAGATCAATTATTTAGGGTCAAGTGACAAGACATATCCTTATAAATCACCAAGTTTTCGACATGATTGGCCTGCATTTAACTGATCACGAATTTGAATACAAGATGACTCACCACCTAACCCCAAGAACACACACAATGTAATAGTTATGAATATTTAACTTTTTTTAAATGATTTGGAAACTAACAATTAAGTGATAAATTAATAATACAACAAAGTTTTACATTAACTAGATTGAAGCCTGATTCAATAGCATAAATTAGGTGACATATACAGAGCATCAACATTGATGAGATCATGGTTCAGATACTTCCATTTTTGTCTATGACTCAGCTTACCATAACAATATTGAAAATTTGATTTACTGGATCAATAGAATATATTGCACTAATAAACACTGTTAATACTTATGTTGTTGCTGCAATCATATGAGATTTTATAGCATAATCAAGTTAATGTTTCTAAATCATAATCTTGTACCTACGAGGGGTGGCTCAGCTGGCAACACTGGTTAAAATTGTGGGAAGAGTCAAATGTTTGATCTCTACAAATATACTCGCAAAATGGAGTGAAAACCTTGACAATGCTCAAGTCCTGAGTCCAAAATAGTCAGCACCAATATGGAGAGTGAATATCGGATGATGTAAATAAATAAATAAAAATCATTATCTCTTACTTCAAGAAGAAATCATAATATTATAAAGAACAAACTCTATGTAGGTCTTTTAAAATTATATTAGCTTTTTGTTTAAAAATTGATAATCAAATTAATTATGTAAATATTTAAAATGTTACTATATTAATCTTTTAAACAAAATTCACTAAATCAATTCATCAAAGAACTATAAGTGTCAACATTTTTAAGTTTAAAAAAGAGTAAAACTTTATTGAAAGTCTAATTTAGTGATAAGTTATTAGACTAATATGACAATGTTTTACAATTTTAAGTGACTATTTTAAAAAGACTAAACTCTGACTTACTTAATTACCCTTTGATAAAATCGATTCCTAGCCCATGATAAATAACAAATTGCTATATATGCATAATAGCTTAGGATCGAATTCCTTATAGAGTTGCATGATTGGGATTGACCTAGACCACTTTACATGCACTTTATTATCAATCTCCAATTTCACTAGGTTATCAACCACTTTGTGAACCCCAAAAAAATATGTTGTTCTCCCTAGCCAAACAATACTTCATAGGAAACTGTAGGGTAACAGGGAAGGAAAAAAAAAAAAGCAGCAAGAACTCAAGGGACATGCATCATGATTCCTTTTGACTACTCTTCTATGGCTGAAGCACTTTGTTTTCAACTTTGGACAAGGTACAATGGATAATGTTATCAAGTTAAAACAGTGAGCCTCGTCATTATCAGAGCCAGATTAGCAAAGGTTGTTGATGTCCCCATTTGTCTGTGCCGACTAATGAACAGCAAAGCGAGCATTAAGCTTTGGTCCATCAAGGAATCCTTAGAGACTTCATGAACAAACCTTGGCCATTTTCTTTGCTTCCATTTTCAAAAATTGGAATGAGTTGTAATTTATTAGGATTTGGAATTATGAATCAGTCCAAATGATCATTGTTTTCTTCTAAAGGAACCTACTAGTGTTTCTACATTTGTCTTCTAAAATGCATGATATGTGGAAAGATATACTAACTAATTTCTTTAAGGGCACTAGTTAAAAATTTTAAAATAAAATTATTTTATTAAAAATATGATTAATGTACTCTTATTATGATGTTTGATTTTTATTTTTTTTTAATTATTGATACTTAAACTAGTGTGTGCAAGATCTTATGTTGAAAGCTAAAATAATCCAAAGCTCCACAAAAAAAGGAAAAAGAAAAAGAAAAAGAAAAAAAGACATGAGACTGTTTGAAACATACACCTGCGTGAGTTAAGACAAAACAAATGCAAGGCAAGCATATGACTAGTCATACAACATTATATTATACAGTAGAAACTACAGCTACTATAACCTCCCAAACACTAGCAAAAGCAGGACAATGTAGAGACCAGATTTTAATAGCATAATCTTACAGGCAAGCATTGGGCTTTAATTAACTTGTTTCACTCTTCAGCTAACCAAAATAATATTCATTCATGAGAATGATAGAAATGTACTATTTTTAAACATACTATTCAACATACTATTTATATTTAGTTTTTTTAAATGGTTTTTTTGACATGTGTCAAAGAATATGTATAAATTAGTCAATTTCGAAAAATATATTAGAAAGTGTGTTAGCAATTTTATATTTTTTTTCAGAATGCTTCATTTATTAGTTAGCCAAATTTTGTAAGTATGATGCTCATTTGTGCCAGAGACAAACTAGACTGGTCACTCTACCCTGTTTGTGTTTGAAGAACAGAAAAGCCCAACATTAAATGTATTTGGTCTATATTTTTGGCAAGCCTTGGCCGAATTTTCTTAACAGTATATTTTAATTACATTAACCCTCCTTGAGACGAGCATTAATAATAAATACACCATTTTTAAAAAGTCATTTTTTATATATTATTCTTACATGTTGACACTCACTATTTCTAAAAACTTACATACTTCGCCACTTACCAACGAATCATACATTTAATATCTCTAAAAATAACTCAAGAGATACAAGTGTAATTTTCTAAACAAGACGCAAGTATTATTAATATTAATTTCAAAAGTGGTCATTATAATTATCCCTACTTATTCATAAAGGATAATTAAGAAAAGTTAAGTATATCCACTTGTAGGGTACTAGGGCATCCTCAACTTGACTTCAGCGGAGACAATGCTCCTGCTGTATCGTGTATTACAATTTAAAAGCCCATTCAACTTGCATGACTCTGACGATCAATTAGTATGAAGAATTTAGACCCCGAAAATATGAAAAATAGGATGCAACATTTAAAGGATTTCACTCAATGCATCCCCACAAGTAATACATTGTATACTCCCTCCATCTCATATTAATTGTCACTTAATACTATTTATACATTTCTTAAAAAATGATTAATTTACCAATTAATAAAATAAAATAAATCAATTTTACTAAAATATTACTATTAGAAGTGCTGAAATTATTACAGTAATCAAGTAATAACTAATCTTATAATTACTTTATTAACTACTTGACAAAAATTATCCCTAATAAATAAAAGTATTATTGAAAATATTAATTAATGCTTTCTTAATATTTTAAGGTAACAAATGATTTAAGACAAAAAAAAAAGGTGTTCAAGTGATGTGATACTTAATACGAGAGAAAAGAAATAATATTTTATGGAAAGTGCATTAATCTCTTGGATCATTATATCCTAGAACATATACATCTACATCTTTTACTTCGGCATGAGAATTGTTTGCTTTTATTTGAGATAGAAATTTGAAAGAAAATGGAACATTTTAACTAAACAAGCCAAAACAAAGTATAATTGCAGAATGAGCTGATCAAGGTAACAAACTATCAAGTTCAGTGCCTTCCATTTTGCTCAGTTAGTAAAGCAAGAGTAACAGTTAAGTTTACCACACAATTTTACAACAGTTAAGTTTACCACAGAATTTTACAACAAGCCAAGTTATCAACAAAATGAGTTACAAAAATTCTGTTTCCCAGCAAAGGTGAAGAACCATACTAGTTCATTGCCTTGCTGTAACCCCAGGATAAATAACTATCCTGCGAACCGAATTCCTACAAAAACAAGAAAACATATTAAAATAACGTTAAAATGAATTAATTGTAACATAACCATTGAGAACATGGGAATACCAGCTGACTTAGTCGAAACTCTGAAGGTGTGTCATGCTCTACATTTGCAGGATCAAGAACAAGGTTTTGACACTCTTCGATATCCTTCTTCAGATGCTCTGGTCCAAGCTGAGCATAAACAGAAAATCCCGGTTGGTTCTTATGTTCTTCATGTTTCCCATCTCTATTCGGAGATTGGCTATGAAGTAGATCATCACACAAGGTGAGTGCCTCAACCAGTTGTTGTGAATCCAAGAGATTCTGCGACTCGCTGTCCCACCACTTTTGGCCTTCGCCAGCATTATTTTCTTCATTATCCATCCCTTCATTAGGTTGAGGTTCTACCAAGGATGAATCAGTTTTCTCAACCTCTTCGCAATCAGGTTGAATTTCATCTAAACAATCCATCTGAAGAGGCTTTGGCACAATACAAAGCAGAACCAAAGAGTAGAACAGGAATTATCATCTTCAGTAAGCACTACTTTCAAATATCACCAAAATATATCATCACAATGCACAAGAAGCACCTACCAAAAGTAATCTCAAAACACATCAAGTATTAGAAGTGTAGCTAGATGGCTAAGTTACATTCCTTGCATTAATAAAGAATTGTAAAATTATTTCAGAGAAGTGGAACCAGCTAGCATGTACCAGCTGAAAGAAACCTGATCATACACATAGACACGTGTGTATATATATATATATATATATTGTGAATTTGACCCACCATTCATTTTGACAGATCTCTGATACATCAAATGACATGTAAAATTCAGATTAACTGCTTAAAATGTTTGAGTAAAGAAAACAAAGCGAACAAGACACACATATATATGTTATAACTATTAGGTATTCAGAGTTTCCTTCATGAAATAGCAATGAGTTGTAGAACATGATGTTATTCATATCTGTTTTTCACTATGTGGAGTATCAATGAATGTGTTAAGAATAGGATTCAAAATTTATTAGATGAAAGCAAGTATTTCTACCCATGTATGATTGCCTAAATTTAAAATGCTACACTAACTATCTGATACACCCTCTTCCAAATAACAAAAACAAAACACACAAACACAATACAATTCACGGCAGAGTGAAAATAGGTAAGAGATTTTGATATTTGATAACAATAAAATATGGTTGAAGATTTTACCTGAGCAATGGTATCAGTTTCTTGTCCTAGGTCTAGATCTGCATGCCGCCTTTCACCACAAGGAGGCTCAGGAGTCACAGATTTGGGGGTGACTGGATCCACTTTCACAACTGTTGCTTCAGCAGTTTCAGGAACATCCTGGTCATCTTTATCACCCAGTTTGACCTGCTGTTGCTGGTAAAACACTTTTGAGATAACATACTCTCCATCTTTTTCATCCTCTTCTGTTCCTAGGTGATATTGATGCATAACCCAATTAGTTTTCTCAGTTTTTCCTCCTCTTATATTGCCCACATTCAGAACCATAATCTTTTTACAGCCTTTTTGAACGCCACTCAAGAAAACTGGTTTAGTCCTTCCAGTCTTGTGCCAGCGGACATCACCAAAATCTTGGTCTTGTATTTTACGGCGCTTTCGGGTGCCAGTGTTGTAAGCCTTGATTGCTCTGTAGAAGAAGTGGGAAGCACTTCCATCTTGCTTAACACCTAAAATTTTCACCATAGCTTAACATATCGATAGAAAAGTAATATAAAATTAAAATTTGAATAAAACTCATGCTACACTGCTACCAACCAGGTAAATTTCTAGGATGAGTATAACAGATTCCATAATCCTCATCAAGAGTGCTGATAAATTCATCAATGAAAGGATGAAGTTTCGAATTTCCTACACCAACTTTCGCAAGCAAGTGGCAGATTATCTCCTGATCAGATGGATCAAATTTAACACCTTTTGGTAAGCCAGGCCACTCTTGTGCTACCTAACAAGAAATTTTAAAAGTCAAAACAGTTATAATTATTTAAGTGCTATACTTGGGGATGAAAAGGATCAAGTTTCAGCCTTAACTTCATTGTGTTTTGATTTTTAACTCAATAATGCTAATAAAATTTCAAGATGTTTCTAAGAATTCATATATATGGCAGGTAGCAGTGCTGAAAAGAACAAAAGAAAGTACCCAAGTAACAAAGAACTGTTCAGACATTTAGCTTGTGAGTTGGGAATATCTCAACCCAACCCATGTAACCAAGGATTAATATACTATAGTTCTGATTTTCCCTTTTCCCAATTACTTCTGCATAAAAATTTTGATGATTCCTGAGGCGTAACACACATTCACATCAATTGGTAATTAAACTTCCAAGCAAATGATATTCAATAGGAAGATGAAAATAGCAGCAGACAAGTATTTCATACTCAAAATTACTAGAGACTATGCCAAAATAGTCTGAAACTGAAAGTAAAGTAAGGGATTAAGCGCAACTGACTAACACTTTAGATAACTAGTATATTAACGATTTAACGTTATCCACTCCTAATGACAATTAACAAGCTAATAAAAAAAATGGCTATTTGACTATTCCCTTTTCAAGTTATTAATTAAAACTGAAATTCTTATCCATTTAATATTCTATATTTAGTTCAGTTAAACCAGCAACCCATCTCAGTTACAGTTGGTTGAGGTTTCAATATAGGAAGAAATGCAAAACCACTCCATTTCTTGCACAAAAACATTTAATTAATAGTTGATCTTGCTGAATCACCATAAAATACAAGCAAAACTTGCATAAATATGATGAAAAATACTTATTCACACTTAAGGAGATAAATGGAGTAACACTAGAGACAAGGAAGGTTTAAAGGGAACATATACTCTGAATAGACTTAAAAAAAATAACATTAGATCAATGCAATTTCTACCAAAAGAATATGTAATGATGAAACCCAATCAGGAAAATGAACATTTAAGTAAAAAGAAAAAAAATTCATGGGCATACATCACTGTTGTCAATAGTGTGCTGACAGTTTGGGCAAGCCTTGGTAGGATTGCTTTTCCATATAACCCTTTCCGGATCACATGCTCCTGATGCACTTTTTATTTTGGTTGCAATTCTACTTTTGTCCACCAACCATGATGTTCTGCACATACAAAAAGAGTCAAGAACCAAAAATATTACTTGGCTGGGGCAGCATGAGTCCATTGTGTAATTTAGGCACTCAGTATCAGAACTCAACAAACATCATGCAGTGGATGTGGACAGGCATTTCATTTTAAACTTCGATAAAATATACAAATACTAAGGTAAGGTAAACAAAAATGCAAGATTAAGTGCAATTGACACACCTATTTGACCATCAAAGGGTAAATAACACCCAAAAAGACAAATGAACAAACAAAAATGAAACTTTTAACTTTTGATTGCTTTCAAGATCTTTCATTTGCCTTTTAATGAGAGAACTATGAACATGTTATGTACTACTATATAAGGATGAACCTAACACAGAAATTCAACCAAAATATTAAAAAAAGTTATATTTTTCACATGAACTATCTAACCCCATCTAAGCTCACTTTTCTTTCATAGAACAATGAAAGTCGCAAATACAAACCGACCCACCTTAAAAACTTTACTAAAACGCAAAAAAGTCGTAATTTTTTTTCAATAAAACTAGCTAATACCATGTACGAACTTCCACTTCTTGTTCAATCACAGACCAAAGAAAATCGCAAAGACGAACCAATCCAATCAGAACACACAAAAGATAACATTTTCACAAGCAACTAGGTAACCCCATTTAGATAATATAGTAGCAAAAACTGCATCCAAGGACAATGTTGTTCTATGATGTTTCAGAGAGAAAACCAAAGTGATAAATAGAGTTTGACGTCAAACATGCTAAGAAAGAGAAGGGTACATACCCAGCCATCGGAGAGTGATCGATGATTCAAAGCGTTCTTCTTTTTCTGCTGTTTTAGGCTGTGGGAAACTTCCAATTTTAATTTAATTTGGTCTGAAATAAAAAAGAAAAAAAAAAGTGGTTTAATAGTGAATTCTTCGTTTCTTTTTTTCATTCTGATTTTATATAATTTTTTTTCAAAATTTGAAATTTACTACAGTTCATTGTGAATCGTCTTGGAACATATTGGTATCAGTATAAAATTAAAGGAAAATGAGTGGCAGCAAGGACAATAATTAAAGCAGGGAGCGACTAGCGAGTGAACACGTTGCCGTTGACTGACTTTTCGTATTATCCTTTTGTGGGGTTTTGAATGATTGATGAATTGTCAAGGGGCATGTTTGTCCATCTCAATTTCTTCTTTATATTTCGTGCAATCCTAGCATCATAATTTTTAATATACTTTTTTTATCTTATAAATATTAAATATTTTATAATAAGTCTTTGTAAAAATATTTTGTTAAATTTAATTTTTGAAAAGTTAAAAAGTTAAATTTTAATTTATGCTGTTAATTGTTTTTTGTTAAATTTAATTTATTCAACTTTAAACTAAACATGCACTAAATTATATTAAATTAAACATTACAATGAAACTGACAAGTAGATAATAAAATTAAGAAAAAAATAGTTTGGATATGTTTAAACCTAAAAACTATTCTAATAAAATCAGCTGACATCCAAAAATGCTTCGCTTAAGAGGAAGCGTACATTTTATTCAAATCATGCTATGTTCTATAATCAATCTATGTATAGAATTTGGAATATAAATGTTTAAATAAGAATGTTTTTTGAAATTTTCACGATTGATTTTTAGGAGTTAGTTTTTTATCATGTCAAAATAATTTCATTTGCATTTTTTAAACATAATACTGATTTAAATTTAAATTTTTAATTTTTAAATTAACGTTATTTATTTAATATAATATAATATTTATTATTAATGATTATAATATTTTTTTTTTAAATGATAGACTTTATTAAATTTTAGTGTATATATATATATATAAGTCCAAACAAAAATAAAAAAATTACCTAATCATATTGAAAAAGTAAATTCTCTTATAATCCTCTCTTAGTTGGGATGGATACAAGTTTGCAAGAAAAGAGATTAAAAAATTAACTCATTTTTGTGCACTTAAATACTTAGTTAGTTAAAAAAAATTAACATAATTGTTAAATTTTCTAAAAATATAATAAATAATATTAATTTTATAATAAATTAGACAAACAACTTAATCTCTCTAGTAATTAGATACAAATTATAATTTATAGATACATTAAAGATTTCTAATGTTAAGAGAATGACTAATTTAAAATCAATTTCAATTAGATTAGGTCACTAACTAAGATTCAAAAATAAAACTCATACTTGAAATAAAATTTAACGAAATCAGCACACCTTGATCATCCCTAACTAATCGTCTGCTGCCAATCCTTAAACACTGCCATTGACATTAAACTTGAAGTAATACAATATATTTATAATTATCATGAAAAAATTAATAGATATACTCGAATAGTTTGTCCTTAAAAGAAAAAATGTGTTGTGTTAAAAAACAAACAGTACTTACATATGCATTTGGTAGGTGTCTTACTTTTTCCTTTCCACGTGCACTTTGCAGATCTCTGAGAAGAGTAGAAAATCAAACCCAAATGTTAACCTCATCGAAATGGAAAGGACAGCCATGGCGGATAATGAATTATTCGGATAGGTTTGAAATTGAATCACTTCCCTTAAAAAAGAAAAAACAAAATTTGATTTTATTTGATAGGAAAATTTTGATTTTGTAGGTTTATTTTTTGGTTAATTTTGTATTTTATTTATTTTTATCTTTTTTATAAGTTATAACTTGTATTAGATTAGATAGTTTTATAAACACTTTTATATATTTTGAAGCATAGTAGGAAGAGATAATTTTTCTTTTCTAACACCTTTTTATAAAATATATTTGTTATGGGTAAGGTTGGGTCAGATTTTACCATAAATAAAATTTAATTATGTTCTGTTAGGTTAGAAAGTTAGAATCGAGTTTACAATTTTTCAAAACTAAACTCATTAAACTTAGGTTAAATTGGATTGAGTTAATAGATTGGTATGTGTTTTCTATTTATCATTTTTAAAATATAGTATTTATAAAATTAAAATGAAAACAGACAAATTGAAAAAAAAAATTACAGCAATTTAAGTTTGTTGAGTTTGAAAATGATCAGCTCGATACTCAATCTGATAAAGTTACGTTTTAATTAGTTTATCCGAACTAATTTAAAAAATTTAATTAACAAAATCCTCAATATAATTTGATAATTAGTTAAATGTGTGTTGTTCGTCCTACCTTAGTTGGATTTGTAAAATGTTGAAAATCACAAGATTCTTTTGATATATTTTAATTTTATTAAGCTACTAGTAGTATATATTAAATAGTAATTAATAAGAAATTTTTTTACTGTATTAATAATCAAATATTTAATATTGAATGACGTTACTATACTCACAAGAATAATAGGAGAAACTTTCTTAAAATTCATCAAATATAGTTAGGTGCAATCGTGGAATTATTCTGTACCATATATACGCTGAATATAAAAGATTTAGAAACAATGGAACCATTATCTATTAATATATATATTTACATTTTTTAACCTTAATAACTCGCATACTGTCTAAAACTACCAACTTAATTTGTCATTAATGATGAATAAATTATATGCAGAGAACAATTGTTTTAGCCAAAAACGTAAATTACTTTGATCTTGACTAATTTAAATTGGGCAAACTTGAATATGAGAGTAAAGTTTTCTTAAACACATAACTGGGAAAGAAAAGAAACGTTAAGGAAATGTTTTTATTTTAAATAAATATATTTTGAATTAATATTTAAAATATGGGAATCATTGTACTTTCAAAGATGGGAATCATTTTAAATGTTAATTCAAGGATGCTATCTGTCAGTCAAAGGAAGGGTAGTGAGAGCTAAACTTCAAAAGCAAAAGAAACCTTATGATCAAAACTTGTGATTGTTTCATACGTTAACATTTCAACGTGGAAGAGTAGATGAAAATGGTTAGCACCATCAACTTTTTACATTCAACATTTGTATCCATAAATGCAAAAGCTGCGCTCCTATATATAACTATGTACAACACACGTTGCTATATCATTTACAGGAGAGTCACGTTTCATCTTTTTATAATTGTGTGAGTGAGTCCAATTTTCTCTAGCACTACTCCTAGGTTGTTGGAAACAAAAAACCATGGTGTCAGCAACAATGTCTTCCACGACCAGAAACCGAATTTTGGTGATCGGAGGAACTGGTTTCATGGGTCAGTTTATAACTAAGGCAAGTCTTGCTTTTGGATACCCTACCTATTTGCTGCTCAAGCCAGGACCTGTCACCCCTTCAAAGGCTTCCATTGTCAAAACCTTCCAAGACAAAGGTGCTAAGGTCATTCATGTGAGTGAAAGTCACTCTTTAGTCTTGCATTTTGTTTTTCTTTCAGTTTTTTTTGGTCATGAAAAGTAATTAAACCACTGTTGATAAAAATGCTCTTGTTAACTCTTTTTATTCTAGCAATCCAGACCTTAGTAGTGAAGTTACTTATGTAGCTTTTATTGATGAATTTAAAGGAGAGAAAAAAGAAAGAAAGAAAAGATAATTGGGAAGAGAGAAGAAGGGTGACGTATGTGTTTGATGGAGGAAAAAGGAGAATGTTTTTGTTTGTGGGGTCCGAAAAATATTCCCCTACATTGGAGGAGGGAGTGAGGAATTTTTGTTATAGTATAAAAATATAAAAAATGATTTTTTAATATAAATTTTATTAATAATTTATTTATTATTATTATAAAGTTTTTGTACATAATTTACTTATTTTTAAATTTTTTCTTATTGAATTAAGCAAGTGAAATATTTTTTTTTTCACTTTCTTCTTTTTACTTTTACATATTCAAAGAACACATTTTTTAATCTTTTTTTTATTTTATTTTTCATTTTTTTTATCTCTCCTTCAGATAAAAGGTTATAGAAAAGATAAAATATTTAGGGCATATCTGTTTGCATTTTTAAAAAGTTTTTTTTAAATTTTATACTCTTGTTCTCTTTCTCATTCATTTGCGCATGTGTGTATGGCAGGGTGCGATAAATGATAAAGAATTCATGGTGAAGATTTTCAAAGAGCATGAGATAGACGTTGTCATTTCTCTTGTAGGGGGCGAAAATGTGTTGGATCAGCTTCTGTTATTGGAATCCATGAAATCTGTCAACACTATCAAGGTGACAAGTTCTCTTAATTATTTAATGAGAAAATATTAAATATAGTTTACTTTAGGCCTAAATATTTTGTTCATGTGTTTATGTTGGGATGCAGAGGTTTTTGCCTTCAGAGTTTGGGCACGATGTGGACAAGACAAATCCAGTGGAGCCAGGTCTAAGAATGTACAAAGAGAAGCGTTTGATTAGGCGTCTGATTCAAGAATATGGCATTCCTTACACTAACATATGCTGCAATTCCATTGCTTCTTGGCCTTATTATGACAACTGTCATCCAACCAAGGTTCCCCCACCCTTAGATCAGTTTCAAATCTATGGTGATGGCAACGTCAAAGGTATTTTCAATCTTTAATTTATGTTATCATTTTGTAACAATGTGATATATGTTTATGTAATGTGAAGATTTTGTTGTATGTGCAGCGTACTTTGTTGATGGCAATGATATTGGAAGGTTCACAATGAAGGCAATTGATGATATCAGAACACTCAACAAAAGTGTCCATTTTCGACCCTCAAACAATTGTTATTCCATCAACGAGCTTGCTTCTTTATGGGAAAAGAAAATTGGTCGAACAATCCCCAGAGTCACCGTAACAGGGGATGATCTTCTAGCTATAGCTGCAGGTTCCATCACAATTCCCTTCCCACCACATAATTATTTGACTAAAGATCAAAATCAACAATTTTTAAGGGAATGAAGGGATTAAAACAAAAAAAAATAGTAATTTTATAGGAATCAGAATCAAATTTTGGTATATTTTGAAGACAAAAACATATTGAACTCGTACTGAAATTTCTATACTATTTTCTTACCATAAAACATTTGACAATTATTATTATTATTATTATTTGTAGTGATTGGTGTTGCAGTTAGTTAAAGACCACGTAGTTCATTGAATGAATAATAATTTTGGTGTGTATGCGCAGAAAATTGTATACCTCGAAGTGTTGTAGCATCTTTCACCCATGATATTTTCATCAATGGTTGCCAAGTTAATTTCAGCACTGATGGACCTAATGATGTTGAGATTAACAAACTCTATCCTGATGAAAATTTTCGATGCTTAGAAGATTGCTACGAGGACTTTGTTCCAATGACTCATGACAAGGTTCAAGGAGGAACAAGTGAAATTAGCAACAGAAAGTCTTTGGTAGAGGCAGTGCCAATCACAGCCATGGGCTAGCTGAAAAGAACCCACCTTAAGATTTTCTGTAACTGTTCAAAAAATTTATAAGTAGGGGCAGAAATTGTTCTGATTATAATAAATGGATATATTTATAAGTTGTTGTCAGCCTGTTTTCTTATGTGTTCAGGTCAAGAAGTTGCTTCATTTCACCCAATTAGTTATAGTATGATCTTCAGAGACTTTCATCGCTGTAATGTATTCTTTTTAAACCTTGAAATAGCCCTTTCATGCCTGTAATAAAATTCTTGTTACTTTGTCTTGGTGCTACTATATATATGTTCAGATTTACTCTGTCATTGGATCATATGAACGTGATTTAAGGTTAATGATTTTACATCGTTGAGAAGAAATCTCAAACGTAAACAATTACAATTTTTTTTAATAATTTTCATAAAATATTAAATTCATCAGTCCTACTGTTAACTAAAATCAACAAATTTATCTTGAAATGTTGTAATTTTTTTAAAAATTTTAAATAGACACACTCATATCATACACATATACATCTATTTTAGTTTCATTTTAATTCTAATCGAATAACTTGTATACCACAAAAAGTACTTACAATACCACATTAAATTCTTTTATTTTAAAAATATATTTTCTTGTCTCATTAATAAGAAGAGGAGTGTTAGGAACACTATTTATTACATCTTTTTAACATATTTTTAATTATTAAATAAAATTTGTTAAATGCTCCAAAAGCATGGTAGAGAATTATTAAATTAAGAATAAAACTCATATAATTTTTAGTGAATAATTAAGAATATATTATGCTGTTAATATTTTCTAATAAAAAAACAATGTAATAAAATTATCTTAGTCAAGTTGTCAACTTCCTTTCATGGTTAAGTAAGGTCAGAGAGCAACGAAAGGAATATTATCAGCCTTTGAATTTTAAAGTGAAAGGGCCATTGCATTTAAGAAAGGATAACGACACGATTGACAAGCTTGCAGTTGCAGACATTCACCATCCTTTCTCACCTTCTAGTCCTCACGTCCTTTTATTGTTGCTATTCAACTTTCTTCCCTTGTTTTTCTTTTATGCAAAACCTACAAGCCCCTTTACTTTTTTATTCATATAATCAAAGGGAAAAGATGTTGTACGAGTATACGATTAAAAACTATTACACTTAATCTAAATTTTATATCTAACGGTTAGTAAAGTAATAAAATATAAACCGTTAAATATAAATTAAATAAAAAATTTATATTAAGTGTAAGAATTTTTAAACTTATACTAATGTAAGAAGATTTTGTCTCATAATTAAATATTTAAAACATATCTAATATAGATCATAATTTTAAAAGGTTTCTAAGTTAGAAAGTTAAATCACTTTGTTAGATGTAAAATTCAGGCTTTAAAGAGAATAAACATTTAAGATTTTCTAATTTTAGATTATATATATATATATATATATATATATATATATAAACATTTAAGTTTATAAAAATTCACATAATTTTAAAACTGATTGACATATCATATAACTATTTTAATATATAATATATTTGTTAAAATATAAATAAAAATGATTACAGTTTATGCAAAATATTGACAATATAGTCAACCCACCCATGTCAAAGATTTAGATCTAGTCTAGTTAATGCGAGAACTAGATATTTAATTTCATTTTTGTTTAATCAAAGTAAAAAGGGACTCGCTTAAGCAAATATGCAAAGAAACAACAAATTTTTTAATGCAAAATTAGTTTAAGCGCGCCTATTTTAGCTTAAACAAATTTTGCAAATTCGCTTAAGCAAATTATGTTAGCTTAAGCGAATTTTGCGTTTTTTCTCTCACTATTTTCTTTTCCTTCTCCTCATGCCCAGCACTCTTACTTTAATCTCTATATTAAACTCTCTTTAACTTTCATATTCAACATTCTTCCTTCTCTCATATCTAACTCCTATATTTTTCTTTCAACTCTCTTCCCTCCACTCCATGCCTAACTCCTCTCTTCTTCTTTCCATTTTCACCTTATCTCATACCTATATCTCTCTTTGCTTCATTCCCAATTCTCCACCCTCCACCACCACTCTTATGTCACTGCTCTTCTTATCTTCATCCATCTTCAGTCTTCTCTTCCTTTCACACCTAGATTCCATATCTTCAAATACACAAAATTTGCTTAAGCTAACATAATTTGTTTTTAAGTTAGCAATATTTGCTTAAACTAATTTTGTATAATTTTTTTTTTTTTTTGTATTTTTGCTTAAGCAAAAATAAAATTGCATGTCTAGTTCCCCCGTTAACTAAATCAAACTGATTATTATCGAAATGATTTGAATTGTTTTAAAAACCCAACGTGCATTTTTTTCTTGCATTGGGCTTTTTCATTAACTGATAGAAATAACAGTTAGTCCACTGTCTTTTTTCTTGACAGAAAGAATAAAGATATGATTCCTTGTGCTCTGATTTTTTATTTGGATTACAATCTAAGAGCACTACCAAAGTGTTTCAAAGAAGGGTTATCCTGACATAGGTCTGCTTCTAGCCTAGATCAACTTAAGTTAAATGGATTCTCTATCTACCCACTAAAATGAAAATATCAAATAGGAAATGAAACTTCATACACCTTAAAGTTCATAAGATAGGAACAAAGGATAATACTCTGATATTGTTTCGACAGTACATGTTCCCACACACACGACTCTAATTTCTTGCTTTAATTATCTTTACATTATATTGTATGTACATTGAGATATATAAAGTTATATACTACTTTGAATGTTGATCAGATCTATAAGTGGAGAATACACTAACCCTTTCGCAATGCTAGTCTCATAAAAACAAAGGCAAGATAGTTAATGAGCCTTCGCCAAATTAAGCATCATTTACAGGCTATTCGTTCTTCAATAGAGACACGACATATAGGGCACCTTATACACTTATGGCAACAAGTGCTGTTGTTGTGTTGTCCGCATCAAAATAGTCAAAAGAAGAGACAAGAAAAAGAAATCAAATATCAATATATTGTTTAAACTTAAAGGGCAAGATTTTGGGACGACAAAAATGTCTATTCTTGTGGGGATTACCCGCAATGAGTGGATATGAATATCATAACACTACTTGCGGATACTTGTTTATTTATAGAATGTATTTTTTATGTATGTGTTATGACATTTCTATCATTTTGAGATAACAATAATGTTAAGCGGGAATAGGTTAACTCAATAATCTCAGTGAAACAAACACAAAAAAATGGATTGGTTTCAAACTTTCAGTATGTAATTTAGTTCAATTTTAATTACAATAATGTAATTAAGTTTGGGTATCTGATTGTTATAAAATATAAACCTAATGACCGCATTCAAACAATATAACGATTTTTAAAATTTTCTTATTATTTTCTTGAGTTCTACTGCTTTGTGGAGGTTATTAAAATTATTAATGACCATAATTAATATTATTATTAAAATAAAATGCCACGTGAATTATTATTAAATGTGTTGTTTTAAAGACAAGAATAATATATAAATGTCTTTGTCTCTTATTTAATAAGCTTTAAGCGCTATTATCTAATGGAATTTAAACTATGTATTGTAATTTATAAAGTTTTAATGGATAAAACTCAGTTTTTTAAAAATTTATCCTAATATTTTTTTACAATTTTTTTTTATTTTTCTTAATATTTTAAAAAAAATATTTAATTTTTTATAAGAAACTCAAACCAAACGAATCTAATAATAATTGAATTAGTTTGGTTTAGGTTACTTGGTAAAATCTTATAAACTTGAACCATTATTGTTTATGTTAATTGATGACAACAAGAACAACGGTTGTGATGTGTACAGATAGTAGGAACAATATTGACAGATAATGACAATATTAATTGTGACATTGGTATCAACAAAGACAATGATAATGACAAAACAACCATATGTTTAATAATGTAAGCTAATGATAAAATAAAAATAAAATTACCTATAATATCTTATTAGTTCCTAACTAGGCTCCTTCCTCGTGATAATTTTTGAACTAATTGACTGATATGATAATTAAATAAGATAATCTTATTCTATCGATACACCAACCAATATATTAAAGTAGCCTATGATAATTATTCTATCTTATGCTCACTACCAAACATGCCCTAAACCTTATTATGCATGTTAATGAAATTTTATAATTATCACTGTTCAGTGCTATCATATATCTACCGATCGACGGAATGTAGTGGAACTAATTCAATTACCCAAAACAAAAGGAAGTCAACGAGTGGTTCAATTCTAGAAATTAAAATACCTAGAACATATATAAATCAAAAGATAGTTTGAGTGAAGAATCAACTTGTTCAATACCCAAAACATAAGAAAGTCAGTATAATTCACATTTACTTGCCTATAAATTTGAATATTATTTCTGTTTACAATGGAGGATCTAGCAACTTACAGAAGCATATTTTAGCCTCCTTTCAAGTTTCAACTATTTCTTCAAGTTCCAGGTCTAATCACGTTCGCAAAAGTTACTACATGTTTTTTATTGTAATCTGTTAAGATATGTCAAATATTCTATTAGCAAGTATTAGGCAATCAAATATTGTATTAGCTGTAATTTAGGCATTATTATCGCTGTGAGGTAACTTGTGTAGTTGTCATTCCTTTAATAGAGGAGGAATTATAGCACCTTTGTATGTATATATATGGTACATTATTCTTTGAAATAAAATATCAGAATTATTCTTTAAACCTTTTTTATATGGTATCAAAGCCAAACACTGACATCCTCTACAATATAGGAATCAGTGCTTCTTTATTTCATTGAATATTTCTGATGGCTTCTTCCGATAAAAATCAATCGGAGAAACATGATTCTGGGACTTCTGTTGTTACCCATATGCACGAAGCGCTCACCCCTGAACAGTTTGACGGCACCAACTATGTTGAGTGATCGTTGAACGCACAGAACAAGATCAGAGGCAGAAAACGTTGGGGTTACATCTCTGGAATAAAGGCTGCACTAGAAAACAAGAAATCTGATGAATATGAAGCATGGGAAGATGAAAACTGTCTAGTCAAGTCTTGGCTTCTGGACTCCATGACGAAAGAAATTAGATCCCTCTTTATTCGCTTAACTACGACAAAGGACATCTGGGACACTGTGCAGCAAAATGCGTCCCGATCATATCAATAATATTGTGAGGTAATCTCTACTCAGCAAAATGGAGGATCTGTTATTATATATTTTGGTAAATTGCAAAGATTAAGGGATGGAGTATAATACTATCACGAATTGTATCATGAAATGTCCTAAAGATGTTGAAAAGTATAACAACATGATTAATTCTCAACGAGTTTATATCTTTTTGGCTGGCTTGGATACACATTTGGATGTAGTTCGTGGTCGTATCCTTGCTACTACTCCCCTTCCAAATGTTCAATCAGTTTATGCAACTATTTGTGCCGAGGCAAACCGCCAAGAGGCTATGCTTGATAGTGAGTCTACTATGGGGACTGCCTTTGTTGTTAAGAAGTTTCCTAAGAAAGGAATCCACAAGTGTACGCACTGCAATGAGGATAATCATGTCATGGAGACATGTTTTAAACTCCATGGCTATCCGGATTGGCATCCAAAAGGCAAAACTACTCCCAATACTAAGGTAGAAGCTACTTCCAAGAGCCATAGTTCTACTGCTGCTGGATTTGTGACCAAGTCAAGTATATCTAATTCTGCTCTTAATCTTTCTGTTATTACTAGGGGTAGTGATTGGATAATTGATTCAGGTGCTACTGATCATATGACTTGTGACCCACATAAATTTACTAATTTTTCCCCTAATTGTTCTAAAACTGCTATTATTAATGTCAATGGGGTCTCATCTCCTATTGAAGGTGTAGGTACTATATCCGTCTCACCCTCCTTATCAATTTCTGATGTTTTATTTGTTCCTACATTGAACTGTAGTCTTCTTTCTGTCAGCAAGTTAACCAAATCACATTCTTGTGTTGTCTCGTTTTATCCAACCCATTGTCTTTTTCAGAACATCCATTCCAAGGAGAAGATTGGCAGTGGTAGAGAGAGTGAAGGACTGTATTATCTTGAAAATGTCTCACAACAAACCCATAACGGAGCGTTGGCTTGTCTTGCGAATGAACACATACAAGATAAAAACAAAAAGAAAATTTGGTTATGGCATAGACGATTGGGACATCCCTCTTTTGGTTATCTAAAAAAATTATTTCCATCACTATCTCATAAATGCAATATTTCTGATTTTCTTTGTGAAACTTGTGTAATGGCAAAAAGTCATCATGCTGTGTTTCCTTTAAGCAATAAAAAAACAGATTTTCCTTTTTCATTAATCCACACAGATGTTTGGGGCCCTGCCCCACAATCTACACATAATGGAAAAAAATGGTTTATCAGTTTTGTTGATGATTGTACTTGGGTAACATAGGTGTATTTGCTTAAACATAAAAGTGATGTGTGTAATGTGTTTCGTTCCTTCCATCATATGATAGTTACACAATTTAACACATATATTAAGGTCATTCGATCAGACAATGGAGGGGAATATTTTAAGACTGAGTTAATAGAGTTCATGAACTCTAAAGGCATCTTACATCAAACTACATGTCCTTATTCACCACAACAAAATGGAGTGGCCGAGAGGAAAAATAGACATATATTAGAGGTGACAAGATCACTTTTGATAGATGGTAATGTCCCATATCATTTATGGGGTGAAGCTGTGAGCTCTGCAGTTTATTTGATTAATCGAACCCCTTCTAGTGTGCTTAACTTTCGAAGGCCTTTAGATGTGTTGTCTGATTATTGTATCCTTCCTTCCATGGTTTATTTACCATCCCATATTTTTGGATGTGTTATATATGTTCACTTACACCCACATCAACGTACAAAGCTTGAAGAACGAGCTTTAAAATGTGTTTTTGTTGGGTATGGATCAACTCAAAAAGGCTATCGTGCTTACCATCCACCATCACAAAAATTTTATATCTCTATGAATGTGACATTTAATGAACATAAATTTTTTATGTTGATTCTACACTTCAGGGAGGCAATGAAAGTGAAGTGCATAATCATGATATTAGTATGTTTGATATTCCATATATAAAATTATACTGTGAAGATAAATTATCGTGTGAGGATCATTCTGCAAGAAGTGAGCCAATCCTAAATATGGACACTTCTTTTTTGGATAATACAGTGTCTTCTGATCATAACCAATTGGCTCAATCTTCTCCACAGGTTCGGCTTGACTCTTCAGAGGTACCTTCAGATCTTATTTCTGATAATACTAATATAGATGAAACTAATCATAAAATTGTTTCTCTTGACCCTACCCTTGATAATACTAATTTAGATGAAACCGATCATGAAATTGATCCTTATCTGCGTGAGACCACCAACACACCAAACACTGAGTCTACTACTGTCCAATATAATCTTTCACCCCGTTCTAACCGTGGTCAACCTCCAGCTAAATATGAACCAAACCTCCAAGCCAAAGTTAAATATCCCATTAGTAAATATGTGTCATCTCACAAGTTATCCTAGTCATATGCATCATTTGTATCTCAATTATCTTCAATTTCTATTCCTAGTAATATACAGGAAGCTTTGGCAGATCCTAGATGAACCAAAGCAATGGTTGATGAGATGACAGCTTTAGAAAAAAACAACACTTGGGATCTTGTATCCTTACCAAGAGGGAAGAAAACTTTGGGCTGCAAATGAGTATTTACAATTAAGCATAAAGCTGATGGAACTATTGAGAGGTATAAAGCACGACTTGTGGCTAAAGGTTATACTCAGTCTTATGGTGTAGATTACCAAGAGACGTTCGCACCGGTAGCCAAGCTCAACACTGTGAGAATACTTCTGTCACTAGCAGCAAATCAAGATTGGCCTCTTCTACAATTTGATGTGAAAAATGCTTTCTTACGTGGAGAAATTTTAGAAGAAACTTATATGGATTCTCCACCAGGCATGACAGATTCAATTGGAATGAAGGTTTGCAAATTAAAGAAGGCTCTATATGGGTTAAAACAATCCTCAAAAGCATGGTTTGGAAGGTTTACCAAGTCTTTGAAGGCTTTTGGCTACAGAGCAAGTAACTCTGATCACACCTTATTTTTAAAGAGAGGAAAAGGAAAAATTACAGCTTTGATTATATATGTAGATGACATGATTGTTACAAGAAATGACCAAGATGAGATTTCTAGTTTACAACAATACCTTGCATCTGAATTTGAGATGAAACAACTTGGAAACCTCAAATATTTTTTGGGTATTGAAGTAGCTAGATCAAAACATAGTATTTTTCTATGCCAAAGAAAATATACTATTGACTTACTATTGAAAACTGGACTGCTTGGGAGTAAACCAGTTGATACACCAATTGAACAAAATCATATACTCTTTCAATGCTCAAATTCAGCAAGCATAGATAGAGGGAGATACTAAAGGCTGGTAGGAAAATTAATTTATTTGTCTCATACACGTCTAGATATTACCTATGCAGTGAATGTTGTTAGTCAATTTATGCATGACCCACGAAAGCTTCGTATGGATGCTATTGAGAGGATTTTGAGAAATTTGAAGTCCACTCATGGAAAAGGAATTTTGTTCTCAAATCATGGAAACTTAAAAGTAGAAGGGTACACTGATGCAGATTGGGCAGGTTGAAAAGATGATAGAAGATCTACCTCTGGATACTTTACTTTTGTAGGAGGGAATCTTGTAACTTGGAGGAGTAAAAAACAGCCTGTAGTAGCAAGATCTAGTGCTGAAGCAGAATTCAGAGGCATGGCACTAGGTGTATGTGAACTTTTGTGGATTAAAAATGTGCTATCAGATTTGGGCTTTAAACAAAATGAAACTATGAGTTTGTACTGTAACAATACGTCGGCTATAGCAATTGCTCACAATCCGGTGCAACATGATAGAACAAAGCATGTAGAGATTGATAGACATTTCATCAAAGAGAAACTTGAAGCTGGAATAATTTCCTTTCCCTTTGTAAGATCAAAATTGCAGTTGGCTGATGTTCTCACCAAAGGAGTGTCAAGCAGAGTGTTTAATGAGTCTCTATTCAAGTTGAGAATATGCGATATCCATGCACCAACTTGAGTGGGGGTGTTAAGATATGTCAAATATTCTATTAGCAAGTATTAGGCAATCAAATATTGTGTTAGCTGTAATTTAGGCATTATTACCGCTGTGAGGTAACTTGTGTAGCTGTCATTCCTTTAATAGAGGAGGAATTATAGCACCCTTGTATGTATATATATGGTACATTATTCTTTGAAACAAGATATCAGAATTATTCTTTAAACTTTTTTTATATAATCTAAGATAGAGACGGTTTAGGAAGATGGGTCTGTTGGTTTGTCCGAATCTCATTTTTCTTCTTCCTCAGAGGGAACGATGTAAAAGGTCCACGTAATTTTAGTATTTTAATTTAGGATTTTTATTTTGAATTTAGGGGCTTTAAATTGAGATTATTTGTAATTAAAATTTTTTATGTTATTTTGGATAATTTTATTCCAGTATAGAATAGTTTTATCTAATTAGGGTGTTTGGTTATGTTGATCTATAAATAGCCTAACAAATCATGCTGTACATTTTTGCATAACTATATTCCATTTCCTTAGAAAACATTTAAAACCCTAGTTAGAGGAGCACTTTGCCCTAAATAAGTATTCTAAGCTTATCATTCTATGTCAACCCCCTCCGAGCTACAACCCTTAGTGCTAATTCTAATGGTTTAAATGAAAAGAAAAGAAGAGACAATGATAGAAGAATAAGAGAAATGTTGATTTTCTTACCTGCAGAGAATGTGATGCCTGCAAGGTAGCATGACTACATCAATCTGCTTTTCAAAGCAAACTCTACATAGAATCTTTTCCTGATAGATTTACCAAAAATATTGTTAGTAGGGTGATAGATCTGAGTATGGTTGAGCTTCAGAGTAACAAAAAGAACCTACTGAATTATAGGAAAGTTTATGCATGAATATGTAAATAACTTTCAATAGCAAAAGGGTTGCAAAACTTGCATCATGGATCAGCTGAAGTTGTCAGGCTAACAGATACATTATAATCACACGTTTGATAACTTTGTTTGATATTGGTCGTTAAGGAACAAATGCAACTCAAATTTTCCTTCAGTTAGTAAAAGTTTGAACTTTCATTGTACACTTTACCTTAGTTTTATAAATAATTGACTACATTCATTGTATTGTAGGAAGGAAATGAAGTTAAAATAGTGAAGAAGTTCTGGATACAAGAGAAATAATGTTTAGAATTAGGAAAATGTCAATCTTAACTTGTTCAGCCAAATTTAAACAACTAATAATAACAAAATTTTTATTAAAAACAAAAATATTTCTTATACTTTTGTAATTTTTAAATATTTTATTTTCTAATGCAAATATGTTATTTTTAAATGCTTAAACTCAAATTAAAGTTATCAAAACTATTAAAAATATATCATTTATATAATATTTGAATTCTAGCCTCAAATTTAAAAATAATTATAATGAAGTATCCACCACAAGATGGCTATGCACATGAATAACAACGACAACAACATAAAATGCAATTTATTAGTAAATAAATATATCTTTTTTTTAATGCATGTGCAAATTCAGGCACATGTAAGAAGTTAAAAATAACAAAAATTATTAAAAATGATAATATTTATGATTTAAAATCATTAAAAATATTTAATAATTAATTTTGGTACATTTTCAATATAAAAAGATTTTTACATTGTCAACCAATTGAAATTCATTAGTGGATATGAATTTTATACTAAGTTAAAGCATTTAATATGCTATATTTGTTGTTTCTTAACATGTGTCCTAAACACATATTATAAAAATCGATAAATAAAAATTAAACAACAAGCCTCCAATAAGGTTCTAATAGCATAAATGTGTAAATGAGGCAAGAAGTGATATTAAGTTTTACAAGTTTTATTTAATTCATTCTGAAAATATAATTTATTTTTCCATTGCGAGAGCTTTTGAAAAAACATAAATTTCATCAACATAATCCTAGCCAACTCTTTCAAATTTCAGTCACATTATAGCTGGTCCCAATGAATAAACGAAATTGAAGAAAATGCAGATCATAACATACACAATCAAGCCTTAGCAATTCAATTATTTATAATGCAGACAATATTAAATTCCAATGTTAAGAATATTACATTTTGAAGTTTTTCAAATTTCTCCTGCCTCAAGTTTGCAACTTCTGTCTGCGTATTCAGTGTAGCTTGTAGTCTCCATATCTGGAAGTTAAAAAGAACTGTGATTAGAGGAATATACAAGAATCAAACCTACTTAATCAATTAGTTTAACTAGATCGTTCTTAAATGAAGAAGAAAAGATTTAACTAATTATACAATAACCACATATTTTGACATAGAGAAATGAGGTCTTTACCTCCTCAACAAGATCTTCTCTACGCATATTTTTCACCGTATCAGGGGAGAAAGTGTTATATCTGAATATTCAATCGAATTAAAATTCATCAGGGAGATATTGAATCAAAATATTCTATACTATACTACTCAAAATAGCAAGGTATAAGCTATAAATACTTATGTTGTAAGTATAATGAAATACAGATTTGGAAGTGGACAATGGGCATGACACAAACATTTCAACATCACTAAGGAATAAAAAAATATAATTTTTAACTCAAAAACATAATAATGTACTCACCTCATGAGTGCTTCCCAATGAATTTCTAATAAAAAATAATTATTTATTGATTCTTTAAGAGAGAGAGAGAGAGAGAGAGAGAAACTCAATATTTATATATTATTGTATTTCACCTAATTCCTATACCAAAGAGCCTCCTCACCCACAAGCAAAAAAATAAAATAAAAATTGAGACATTATATTTTAAGCTAACTTTTCTGAATGTTAAAAAAAAAAGTGAATATTACTTATGATACTAGGGTCCTTGTCTATCAATATGGAGGTGACGTCAATATTCACTAAACTCAATCTCACTACAGTGAATAATGTGACACAACATAAATCGTTAGATATATTGAAAGTCATTCATCCAACTATTTATGTTATGTCATGTCATTGAATAATGAGAATGTGTCAAAATTTGATTGAAAGGAATCAAGGGCCATGGAGGTATTGGCTCAGGTGTCCAAGCCAACAAAAAATATGAGATTTTAATTTGGAAACGGATATTGTTACACTACAAAACTGGAGACTTCTGAGAACAGTGAGAAGGATGTACAAATACTCACTAAGTTACTGAAAGTAAATGCACTTAGAAAAGGAGGGGGGGAAGGTCTGCAAAACTTTATCTGTCACATAATCATGCTATAAGGTGAAATACTAACCCAGAATTATCAGCACAATAAAGTCTAGCAAGTTCCTCTCTACTTCCTTCATCTATTGACCACCAACCTAGGAATCTGTCAACGGGGAGAGTGCAGGCAATGGCAATTCACATGTTAGTTAAGCAATTTTCTGTGTTTGTCTTGTTTCAATAGAGATTCTACTAAGTATATTTTTTAGCTTTGGATCCAATGCAATATAAACTAATAGTCATTAATCTGATACCTTGACCCATGATGGAAGAATCCAAAGCAATCACGGACTTTTGATGCTATAGTTGTGTATGTAGTAGGAACATCTCCACTATAAAGTAAAAGAACAATTTTCTCCACTAATCTATATGATGCAAATAGAACCCCAGCTCCTTGCAACAAAAAAAGTGGAGAAAAAATGACCCACATTGGTATATTTTTGGCACTGGTTGGTGTTTCCTAAAATTTAAACATAACAAACTGAGTTAAAAAAAGATATGAACAACTTACAAATTCTGAGAACATAGCAAAAGCCTTTGTTAGAACTAGCATCTATCATACCGCTAAATGCATAAATAGAAGTAGTTGAAAACCAATGAAAGGAATCTTCATAAGATGCCCTCCAATGTCTTGCAGATTGCAGTATGTATTTTGCTGGCTATCTTCTACATCTGAGGAAACAACTATCCCTCTATCACAGTCTAGGTATCTTACAGTAAATGATGATGAATGTTCTGAAATGTGACAAATTTCATGAATTGTTGGATTGTGCCACTTCGTACAAACAAGAAAGGCAAAGCACTGTGCAATGCTGTAAAATGATATAACAAGAATTTTATGAAGGGAAAAGGAAGAATAGAAAAGGAATACAAGAGAGATTAATAGTCTATCACAAAAATGTTGAATATACCCGAAGTTAACAAATAAGTCCCACCAGCCTAAAGCTAAGTCACCTGCACACAAATGGTAGAAAGTTAGCAACAAAATAATTATGGAGTAGCAATTAAATGACAAATTTTGTAAATAATGTGATCAACACAACATCAATCAAAGTAAAATCATACACATTTGTGTGTGCATGCCCGTTTATGTATTTTAATTTTCCAAGCCCAAACTAATCACCATTTTGGGGACAAAAGGAAAAGGAAAAGAAATACAGCTTCCCCAAAGTATTCTGTAAACATCATTATAAGATAAACTCTTATTGTCAAGGGAAAAGAAAACTTACCACGTATCTTTAGAAGGGTGAATATTGTAGCAGCAATAAAGAAGACCATGGATACTGCAATCCAAAAGTGCTAGAACACAAAAGAACACAAGTTAGTGTTGAGCTTTTGGGAGAAATAGACGAAAATCAAAAGAAGAACAAAAGCTTCACTCATTCGGTATTAGAAAATCCTACATTTTCCCTCCAATAAAATGTAACAGAGCAAGTTTTCAGCCTGAATGTACTCTCATTACATACACGACCATGTCATACTCATAATGTTGCAGACAGATCAGAATATCAACTTATGAAAGGAAAAAAAAGGTTAAATATAAAACAAATATGATGTACAAGATGAAATTTTCAAAATAGTGTAGCAAGCCACCTTATGCCTAGAGACCACAATTTAAATTGTTTTGGGAAACCCAACATAGATGCATTGAGGTTTCGTATGCTTATACCTTAGAATCTCAACTCAATACAAATGTCTTGCTCTCTTATCAAGAGATCCAAAACTTTGTCACAATAAACAAATCCCAAAAAATAAACTTAAAATATCAATATTATTCATTTTAAACATTAGTCTCCACATTCTGCCAGAATTGGAGTTGGTTCAATTTTTCATGAAAGGCTAGTGCATAACCTACTAAATCAGGCAATGAAATGATAGACCAAACAAATGTCATAATGACATCCTGCTAAAAATGCTCAAAGGAATCATGAAAAGAGTCTGGTAATCCATGATTAACCCATGAAAGGAATAATTAGTGAATGCGGTGCAGAAAAAGGACAAAAATGAAAACAGAGAGCAAAGTTAAGGTTTCTTCGTATTTCACAGTTCTTGCAGTTTCTTATACTTACAAAATTTTGATCACTAATGCATTTCAACCAGTAGTAAGTATCTAGACCGACATGTACAAGAGGTTTTTAAAAAAGATATAATCACAATCTCTTGTTGTTCCACATTCCATATCCTTAAATAAAAAAAAATCTCAAATTTCATTAAGACATTTGATCTGATATTGTTAAAAAGACGTCAAAATTCAATATTTATTTTGTTTAGTAGATTCCAGTAGAAAGCCATACTGAGTAGCCTTAACATACTCCCAAATAAAATATTCAACACATATCAATCATCAATTACCCATCAACTGATGAATAGCAAACTTACAGGAAGGCTTTTCCATATTGCTCTGCCACTGAAACTTCCATCGTCTCTCGGCACCAAAGCCTTACACATCCTATGAAAAGATATACTTAAACCGCTACAACCTTAAATTACAACTTAGAGATAATATGATTGATTAACATTGATCATAGCTATATAGTGGAACTATTATATATTTTCAGAAGTAACATTTTTCAGATATAAAAAAGATTCACTGCAAGCAAACCCAAAAAGTAATGAATGAATTGAATGGTGAGTACAAGCTGCTTAACTAAAAAAATAGACAACTTTGTAATCCATGAATGGAATAAGTTAATTACCTTATGTTATCAATCAAAATTGCCATTTCAAAAGCCAGCAGGGGTAAGAAGACAATCTCTATTTCTACCACTGCATCATTTCAATACGAAGTTATTTAAACTGAAAACATCTGAAGATCAACAAATTAAAGAAGCACCACAATCCATTTTGATGAGCAGAATACAGTCATCCATAACACTCAGAATAATTGTGCCACAAGAAATGTTGCCTACCATAATTGCTCTCAAGATGTATGCATAGAAGTAGCTCAAAAGCAACAAGTAATGGCATCGCCAAGATGGCATGACTGGGAGCCCACTGCTCATACACAAAATTTGTTTTTCACTTCAGTAACAAAAACATATTATATAGGACCAATTTTCATTTTTCCATAAAGTTCATTATTCCAAAATAAAGATATTTTTTAACAACTCTTACACGGCGATCATGAGGCATCAAAGGAGCAGGCAAGGAAAACCTGCTTCGCACTACAATAGCATGAAAGATCCATAGAGGTGAAAATATGATCCTGCCAAATATAAACAAGAGAAAGATATAGTATAATTACAAAGGAAAAAAAGGCAATTTCTCACTTAATCCATTCTTTGTAACCCAGAAGCCCTGAACATAAACCTAGCAGGCTACTTAAAAGTCCACTCATCAATAACATTTTAGGACTAGATTTGAAGGACCCTCCCTTGACTAGCATAGAGTGACCAATGTTTTTCTCCAATTGACTTTGTCAACACCAAAAAGGGGGCAATGCATGAAATGAAAACAACACAGATCTTGGCACATTCCTTAGTATACAACTGTCAACTTGTCACACTTGCCGTTGATTTTAATCATGCTACAACAATTCTAACAAAATAGAATTTCAGAAAAAAATTGCCATCAGACAAACTTCTTAGATGTCATGTTGAAAACCATCAATGACTTGAACCCTCCACTGATTATTCCTAGCCCCCTCCGAGTTACTTGAACATAATTATGTGATCAATCAGTGAAGCACTTAAGAATAAAGCTTCCAATTTTATGCAGCAAGTCCATAAAAAAAGTGTCCTCACTTGATGAAATTATGTCATGCAGCCAGCAAGATTGTGAGAGCAGTAAAGCATACCAATCTTAAAAATCTGTACTATCCTTTTTTCTTTTCTGGGAAACCAAACAGAAGCAAACTTTACTTCACAAACAAAGCAAGAAACAAAATTAAATAAAACAAAAAAGCTCACCACCATGAATGATGGAGTTGATGATCAAGCTTGAGAACAAGCAAAAGAATGAAGAAAAAAAGCATGGCATGAGCTAGCAGAGCTTTGAGAGAATTTGCCAGCCTTCTCCAGCTCATCACTCTCCTCCCAACCAGCATTCCCAGAAACCAAAAATTGCAGTGAAAATCACAAACCAAAGGCCAAATCAGAAGCACATACACACAGGGATGCATACACAGACAAACTTTTCTCTCTCTTTGACCATATATATAATATTATATTTCTTTATTTATCTCTATGGTAAGTTGCATAATCAGATATGCTTAAATATAACAGAAGAAGGAAGAAAGAAAAATCCTCGGAGTTTGCAGGAGACTTGAAAATATTCTGTCTTTTTCCTATTTTCAATAGTATATTTAAAAATTATTTTCAAAAAACAGAAAAAATAAATAAATATTTGGTTCTTTTTACTAATCAATTTATGTAATATTTATAAAAATATAATATTTTAAATTTATATTATTTTATTTCTTATTTTAAAAACTATTAAATAAAAAATATTCATTTTCAAACCCTCAAGTCCTAATCCTATCATGCAGGATTGTTTAGAGGAAATTTTTGAAAGAAAAAAGAAGAGATATATCTTTTATTTTACAAAAATATTAATTTAGAATAAAAAAAAAATTCTCTCCTCTGCAACGAATTATTATTAGTAAACGAGTTACTTTAACTCCTCGTAATATTTCGTCAAAAAAGAAAAAACTCCTCGTAAGAGTAGTTGTGGCTGAATTAGATTTCAATTTGGATACCTTGAACGTGACAACATGAGGTGTAAGGACAAATATAAGAAAAATTAAAAGAATTTATGAAAATAATGATATTTTATTTTAATTATTTTGCACCTTTTCTCATAACATGCTAAAAATTAACGTGCAAAATCATAATTCTTCGCTATTTCATATGATAGCATTATTTATAAAATAATAAAAATTATAATTTTTAGTATATTTTTTAAACATATTATTTATTATTAATTAAATTTATAAAATAATTATTAATTATTAATAAGAATTAAAACCTATTGAATAAAAAGCCCTAATTCATTTAATGATAAAAGGAAAATATTAATAAATAAAGTATGATAAAGATATTAAAAATATAAGTTTTTACAAAAATATTATTTATCATGGTTGTTAATGTATTTTATAATAACTTTTAATAAATCAAGTTATTAATTTTTTAAAAGATAAAGACATGTAAACGATGGGAATAATAATAATAATAATAATTTTTAATAAGAGAGTTTTTAAAAAAAATTAAAATATTTGTTTTAAGAAATTAATTTTTTATTATATCAAATATTTTTTTTAATTGGTACTCTTATTATTTTATTTATATATATATTAGTATTATAAATCATCATCATTATGCGAATAAGAAATTATTTATTTTATTTTTAAAATATACAAAAATTATAATTAAAGATATTTATTTAAATTTTAAAAAATGAAAAATATAAATCTTTTATTATTTTATTTTAAAATAAAAATATGAAAAAACATTCTTAGAGTTTTAATTTACTAGATCGACAATATTTTTCACGAATCACCCCTATATTCTGTATATTGTATTTTGAACAACCTGAACTAAGAAAGGTGAAATTCACTTCATACATGTTGGAATTAAGCAAAATATACCTCTTTGGAAATATTATATTGATAAAGAAACATATTTTAAAATTTTGAGAATTAAATCTCAAACTTTAAATACAATATTAAATTTTTTTCTTTACCACTTTTCTAATAGATTTATTCAAGGTTTGAGATTTATAAGACAAGAATTTAATTAACTAAATATACAATATATTCTCACAAAGTCTTTTAAGATTATATACTCTAAATTGATTTATAAAACAGCGTTTGAACACTTTCATACTAATCAGTTCTTTATAAAAATAATTAGAATGATGTAATTCAGCGATGCTTTGGTGGGATTTTTCTACTACTCCTTTTAATCTTATATATGAAAAATAATTATTACCATTTTTTTAAATATAAAAAATAAATATTTATTTTTAAATACATTAATTGTTAAATTCTTTGTATACTTTTATTTATTGTGAGGTTTAAATTAATAAGATACTCTCATATTACATATATAAGTGGATAATCTTTTTTTCATTTAATGAATTAGTTACTAATTTTACTATTTATTTCTCCAAATATTTTTAAAATATACTATAATTTTATGACATATAAATATTTTTATTAGTATTAACTTGTAGCATTTGCTTGCACTAAGTTAAGAATGAAAATCCTTTTCCAAGAACTTGAAAGGATAAAAAAGCTTTTGCAGAGAGTTCTCCGCCTTGCAAGCTCAAATGAACTTCACGTACAGATGAGGTTAAAAAAAAGGAACAAACTACCCCCTTTTATCTGCCAATGAATTTGTGACTTTTTATAGTGAAAGAAAGGCTTTAAACAAATATGTTTCCTTACATCCATGACAAGACTTTTACAGAAAAGGATATAGTGATTAACATGTAACAAATTATTTACAAAGTGGTGGATGTTAGTGTAAAATGGCTTATAGAAAACTCCTGCATGAATATATGAACTATATTTTAAGAGAATTACCAAAACTATATAGCCTGCTTCTCCTAGTTGTTAATGCAGGATCACAGATTCACACTGAGGAGTAAAATTTGAACATGATGCATGAAGAAATCTTGTGATAAAATGAATTAAGTTCTTTTCAAATATTTTATTCTTCATTCTGATTCATTAATCTATATATACTTAAATTGCTTACTCAATAATCTAACTTTCTGGTTGAGTCATTCATGGTTGTGTCGCTGCTGAATTTTACATCTCTAGTTGGTTTTGGCTAGACTAAGTAGTCAAATGATTATACATTTGAATGTATTACATCATTGTGGTGCGCCCTCTAAATCTCATGAGATTGATGACCCTAATTTGATTAGAACAAATTTGACTGAGATATACTTTCAAGTTAAAAGTAAAATAATCATAATATCACGTTTATTATAAATACATATTTTCAAGTTTTTGCAACAGAAAATCGTAAAGACAGTTCCTTGGGATCTATATATATATATATATATATATATATATATGTTATATGATCGGTAAAAAGCTCTAACAGTTTATAAAATATTACAAATTAGTAAGTCATAAAACCAATGTGTCATCTGTCTATGTATGTATATAAACGCAATAAAGCATATTTCTTTTTACCAGTACTTGATCATCTCTCGTGACTTTGAAGAACATGCAGTCTCGTTATGCCCCACATTGCCAGCCCCTTTTATATGTTTTTTACAAATTTTTATTTCTCAAGAATGCTGAAATACTTGGCATGAGGACTACAATATGTGATATATATCGACCTACTAATTTTAAATAAATTGTTGAAAAATCAAAATGAAGATTTTATGAAAATATTCATTATATTGTAGCGACTGTGATGGTGGTTGTTACCAGCAGTGGCGCTGTGGGGACGCAGCGCATGACGATGGAGAATCGTGACGATCCGATTGTGATGATAATGATGATGCCATGCACGGATGCATTCTACTCTCTCAAATCTCAACAGAGAGAGAGAGAGAGAGAGAGAGAGAGAGAGAGAGAGAGGGGGGGGGGGGGGGGGAAGAGAAGCAATTGAGAACAAAACTTCAAATTTCAAAACAAACAAAATAGCAAGCAGCAGTTGCAGCATATATATATATATATATAATATAATATAATATTTGAATTAAATGGAGATGGCATTTCTCTCCTCACAGAGCAATCAATGCCTCATTTTCCATGTTAGGATTTGATATAAGGTTTCTCTTCCCACGAAAAAGATCCTTCTCTGTTTCTTTCCCTAACCAACTCTAACCCTTCTCTCTCTCTCTCTTTGGATTCAACACAAGCAAACAAGTACATGTACAAAAACCACATTATACCATTACCTCATTGCTTCATCATCACTCCCATCACCCAGAACATACATTATAATTCAATCACATTTTTCTAGCACACCACATAAAACCCAAACCAACAAAAAAAAATTTAATATAAACCAAATGATAATATAATATATAGTAGTTAATTAGAGAAAGTATATATATTCATAAAGACCTTTGTTCAAGGATATTGATATTATTAGTCCTTTGGCGCTTAACATTCCCAGAAGCTGATTCATCTCCACCACTCTTCTCCATCACTGCCTTGAGTGCTTCTTGTATTGAGCTAATACAACATTGTTGTTGTTGCAAGTTTTGTTCACCAATATTATTGGTACATGAATTATTATTATTATTAATATTATTATTACTATCCTCGTCACCAGTGATGAATAACACGTTCTTTACTCGCCCACCAAGCGTGGTGATCTCAGCTTTAAGGGTTCTCAACCTTAACGCTTTTAAGGTTTTGATGAGGTCAGGTAAGAGATCTGACCTATCTTCACAACACAGAGAGGCTTTGATCACAAACTTTCCATCTTCATCGGCTGCATCCACCGTTAACTCATCAGCTTCAGTAGGCACTACACTCGTTTCAGCTATCAATGATGTTTGCCTCTTCAGCTCCTTCACATGCTGAATCACTTCTGCCAGCAATGAAGCTTTATCTGTCTATAAAACAAAATTTATAATAATCATAACAAAATTTAAAACGCTTATTATACACTTTTTTTTAACATATTTCTAATAAAATCATATCATATGATATATAATTGAGAGTCTTCTAGCAGTATATTTGTTAAAGATGTTGGTGAAAAATTTGATGAATAAATTGTTTTTATTAACAATTATGATAGCGAGGCTTTTAAAATTAAGATGAAGATATTAACATATATTTTAGTCTTGGTAATTAGTATTTTTAAGATAAATATTATGTAACAAAAAATATACTGAAAATTAAATTGATATATATTAAAAATAACAACTGTTGAGTTAATAATTCTTTCATATATGTTTTTGAAAAATTAGTCATTATTTATAGGAAGACTACTTCTGTTCCTATTTATTTATCTAAAGAAAAAATATTATTTGTACATTTATGAAGAAATTTAAGATAATATTATGATTAATTTTTTTTAAATGATTATAATATTTAAATAGCCCAAATATAACAAACAAACATATCGATAGTAATTAATTTTAATAAAATGATTAATTTTTTTCTTTTATTCCTTAAATAATACTTTAAAAGTACTCTTTAATTAGCAATATCCTATAATGAACAATAAAGCTTGGAAATTGTGCATTGTGTGAAATGAAATGATGGGGTAGTGTGGAAATTAGTTTATGAGGTGGGTAGGGTTATAGCTAGCTTGACGATTATGGAAGGGAAGTAGTGGGGGGTTTTTTCTGAACGGTGGAAGTGGCATGCAACATGTGTAGAGATAGATAGATATATAGATGAGATGAGATGAGATGAGATAGGTATATAGAATAGTGCGTGTGTGTGTGTGTGTGTGTGTCTGTGACTGAAAAGGGTGCTACTTTGTCTCTCTGCCTTTATTTCTTTTTCATTATCGATCTGAGTTTGACTGATCAATATTATCCGGCAAGAAATTTTCATGTGTAACTTTTCAACTGCTTCTTGGTTCCTCTTTATCGTATCAACCAAGCGACGTTAACGCTAATAATACCCTTTTTCTTGCATCTTTAATTACTTTTTCTAGTAATAAACTCCTCGGAACTACTACACACATAGACTCCCAAATAAATAAGAAAAGACAAAAAAAAAAAAAAACACACATAAAAACAATGTGTGAATATGTCCAAAAAAACAAAAGAGCTGGCAAAGCAAGCAGAATTGAATAGTAGTAAAAGAAAGAAACAAGACCGTTTACATGCACCCCATTTTCAAAAGGTTATGAGATTTCGGTTTACGCTATATCAGACCAAACTAATGTGTAGAATCTTGGCAAGATTTACAAGTACTCTCTTAGTTCAAAAAGGTCAATAAAGAAAACCACAAAAAATAAAGTGTAGCCCGTTGAACACACTCCTATTATATACTCTTACGACATGCGTTGCATGTTAGGCGTGAATACGAGATTTTCAATTTTTACTGTCTTTTTCCTCGTTAAGCATTACACGGCTAGTCATAATAATTATAAATATTTTGCTAGCTGTTTGTGGTGCTAGTAAGTAGTTAAGTAATTATAAATACAAGATTATTAACACATAATAAAAATATACTGGTAAGAAGACATAACTGTAATACACATTTGAACTTTTGGGTTTGGATAGAACACAGTGCAAATGCTAAGAAAAAAATAGTGTGTTTAAAACATCCCATGTTAACATCAGTCTTTAAACCTAATTGTAAATTATAAAATTGTTAAATCTTTAATAGAAACAAATATAGATACTATATTTTTAATATAATAAATATCTATTCTTTGATAAAAATTTATCATCTTTGGATGTTCAAAATCAGTGATTAACATTTTTGTTTAAAATAAAATAATCTAAGAACACTTATAAATTATAGTACTTACTTTGGTTGTGTTGGGCAACAAGCTGCGAAGCTTGGCAAGATGGTTGTTGATTCTCTCTCTGCGTCTCCTTTCAGCTTCACTGTGACTCTTTGATGCAGCCAGAGCCTTAGCCTCCATGATTTCTTGAGCAGTCATCTTGCCCAACTCGGCTTGGAGTCCAAAGGGTGTTGAACCGGGTTGAACCATGGGTCCAAGGGTATCGGATATGATCCTTAGATGGTGGTGATGATCAGAGGATGGACCCTCACATGCAAACTGAAGAGAAGGAACCCTTCTGTTGAAGAAGCTTGCATAGGGTGATGGTGTGGGAGGAACAACAAAGGTTTGATCATGGTGGTTGTTGTTGTTATAGTGAACCGGACCCGGGTTGAATGAGTGAACCGGAGGCATGGACCATGGTTGCAAGATTGGAGAAACTTCAGCTGGGAACATTAACCCTCTTGAGCCACCAAAGATGTCACTATTTTGTTGCATCTGTTGCTGAAGGAGAAGGTGCTGATCTTGATAGGCTTGAATGTTGTTGTTGTTATTGATCGCTTGAGAAGAACACTGTCCTTGATCTTCTAATTCCTGTTTCATCTCCTTCTATTGTTGTGTCCCTTGTTTTATAAGAGCTATGAATATGTAATCCAAAATTCAAGGCTTTATATTTATGTGTATAAAGATATGATGAAGTGAAAAGAGAAAGAGAATTTGAAGGTTCAAGTGTCAGAAAGGTGAGGGTATTTTCTGTTTTGTCTGATATGACTAAGGAAAAGGAGGGCTGAAAGGGAAAAGGGGTATCGAGAAGAATGTTTGGTTTACACTTGCACAAGGAATAAAATTGAAATGGGCATATATTAAAAAGGAGCGCGTGTTTAATAAAAGGAAATTAAGAAAAAGAGGGACAACAAACCTTAATTCCTTTGATGGAAGTGATGACTGATTGTGGTCTTCTAATTCTGTCTTGTAAGTTTCTCACATGTTGAGGATCAATCAGTTACTTTCCTTGTTTCTTTCTCTTGTGGGGGTGGGTGGTGAAAGAAAAGGCCAAGCCTTTTGAATCTCCCTCTCTCTCTTTCTCAATCTCAAATCTCTTTCACTTGGTAGGTTTATATTTTTTTTCCACAACCTTTGTGGAGGGTATGTGTGGTAGTGACCCCTTTTATCCTTTGCCTCCAATAGAGCTTTCCTTTTCCTTTATGCTTTGTTGGTGTCTTTTTGGTTTATTTGATCTCTTCTTCTCTCTGCACTATGCAGCCTTCACCCTCTAAAATATAGAGCCTGTTTGAGTACTGCTAGTCCCCTTTCCTTTCTTCTTACGGCATTAACTTTATCTATATCATTCCATGTAGCTTTCAGGGGTGTCTCTGTGAGTGGTATCTCTTTTACACAACAAAGCTCATAAAAAATCGTTTTATCAACATAAAATCTATAGTATAATCTCATAAAGTAGTATTAATTTTTGGTTGCTTGTGATTGGTTCAAAATGTATAATTACACAAGCTGTATGGTGTGTGAGAGAGAGATGGGGATGGGAAACACAAGCAAGCAGAGAGTGAACACACAACACACAGATTGTCGACCGACCATAGACCAAAAAGGCTGAGTAGTATCATCATGATAAAAAGCTTAGGTTAACCTTTTCTTTCTTTTCATTTTTTAAGTAGACAAAATTTCATTAAAATATTATATATAAATTTTATAATTTTTATCTAATCAGAATTTGAGTTTCAATTTTTTTTTTAATAAATTTTGTTAATCTTAATCCTAACAGTTTTAAGAATTTTAAAAAATCCTTGAAGCTAAGAATAAGTTTAAGGGATAAAATTAATAAAACTCTTTTTTTATACATCAATCTTCAATGTAACTGTATTAATTTAAATATTAACCTTTATTACGTAAATTATTAAAGTAAAATTTAATTTTTAATAAAATATAATACTAAAAATATTTATGAAATACGTAAGTTTTATTTTCTTGTTTAAAAATTTTGAGTTAGTAGTTCATTTTTATGTAAATTAAGTTATATTTTCCCCCCTTTTTTGGGGGTCATTTTTAGACTTTGCCCTTTCCCTTTTGGCGTTTCCTTTATTTTCATTCCTCGGTCAAGCCCCCACGTTCTTCCATACTCTTTGGCTATGTGACTATGTCCACGCCACCCTTTATGCTTCCCCAAGACCATGTAATCATTGTGTCTTGGAACACACTCCACCCCCTCTCCTCTCTCTCTCCTTGCTTCTCCTCATATGTCATAAGGGTCTTGGTTTCAGTTGAAACTAGGTATACTTAGTGTGTGTGTGTGTCTATGATATTATATATATATTGGTGGTTCTCATTACCCTATCTTTTGGGGGGTAAATAGGAAACTTGCCCATATATATGATCTATATTTTTCTAGTAGTGGAGGTGGTCCACGGGTAAAGGACAACACAGCAACAAAAAAGAAAGCATAGCTAATGCTTGAATTTTTAACCTTTCGAGGTGGAATGTATTGCAATAGGAGAGAGAATGAGGAGAGGGTCAGCATTACCTTCATTTTTAGGTGGGCATGCAGTAATGTCTGTCTTCAAGATCTATCCCAAACCTCAAGTTTAATCTGAATTGAGTTTAGGATCGTTGTTTTAGCCCATGGTGCCATTATATTTGATTAGCAAGTCAGCATTTAGCAAATGAAGTAGGATGAAATTATTCGTATTATTCCACTGATTTGACTCACATTGACCTTTCAAATTTCTCATTTTGATAATCGTCATCAATTTACAAATCATTCGTTACAATGTATCTATTCAAGTAATTTTTCCTTCACACGAAAACAAACAAAGAAATCGTTATTTTAGATGTAGGAAAAATTAATGCATGCTTTTCTATATTTGTTGTTATGTCAAAAAGTGGATCTAGGATATATATATATGAACTGTGATGCAAAATGCATATTCCTTAAAATATACTTTGAAAAATGCAGGTCCCATAACCATATATAACTTTCTTGGCAACTTCCTGTCTTCGTATTTTAATTTATCTATGTTTACCACATTGACGTAGATGACTCAAAGTTAGGAGCTAAATAGCAACAAGGACAACCAATAACGTGAATTTATAATTCTATAGTGAGACAATTTAATTTTGTTTATTAGCAGTAGCCAAAAGATAATCTAAAATTCTGGTGAAAAGAATATTTAAAAAAATGTCTCTTTGGGATGGTTGGTAAGATATTGTCCACTAGAATGTTAGAACTGGAAAAGGCCGCACAACACAAGGAAATAATAGATGTTTCCAATTACTTTTGACAAGTGGCACAGTTTTCGAAGCTCCTCTATACCTATCTGGCTATAGTAATAGTAGCACTTTATTTTAATTTTAAATTTGTTTCTGGCTTTACACATATCTTGTTCTTCCTCCTCCTACTAGTACTCACTGTTTGCCTTATCTTGTACCAGTCACCAGTAGCTGTTGTTTGCTGCTCCCTGGTTGGTCCAAAAGAGGTTCACATAGTTGGTTTTGATTCCTATCTTTTTTATGACTTGTACATGGTAAAAATAGGGAAGCAGGGTAATATAGTAGCTCTGGCTTAAAAGGTAAGTCTTAGAGCTCTTCACCGGCAAAGTCTGCAAGCTAATTACACGTTTCCCATAAGCAGCTTGGTCATCTAAAGTAAAAGCAAAATGTAAATCATTAAAGCCTAGACACATTACATTTCCCAATTCAATGTTCTAGAGTTGTTGCAACTTGCAAGTGCTTACATGTAGAGATTCAAGGTGAATTTATTTAATTTACCCTGATTATGTTATGAAGAAGAAAATGTGTTTTTATTAATCGATCTAGCAATTGTATTTGAGTTATATGTGACAAACAAGGTTTAGTTTTCATATTTTAATTTACGTGTTATTTTAATCTTTTTTGTTTAATTATTTATATTTAATTTTTTTAACAGTGTAATGATTTAAATTAAGTTTTTCATCTTAAAATTTCATCTAAATAGTTCAAAAATATATGATAAACATGTAATATATTGTTCACCTATATAAATTTATAAAAATAACAAATAATTATCAACTAATTTTTTATTATATTTTATATATTTATTTGTTACTTTTATTTAAATAATTCGTATTTTTTTATTAATTTATAAAAATAAAAATATGTTAAATTTCATTCATTTATTTTTAAATTTAAATAATTAAAAAACTAATATATACATATATTAAGAATTAAAATATAAAGCCTAAAATGCAATTAGGCTTTTATATTAACAATTTTTAGGAATTTTTTTTTCCCAAAGGACTACTTTCAAACCTTAATTTTTTTTTTTAGGTTTTTTTATGGACAAAATATTTCAATTAGAAAACTGCTTAAAAAGAAAATAAAAACTTTAGCATTGCTAAAGAAAGAGGTTATTAATATTTAGGATTGAGGCTAAAATTCAAATTTTGATTATGTGAATCGTTAAAATATTAAATAACGATACTATTTAAGTTTAGAGTTAGGTCTAAAAAGGAATTTTGACTTAAAAGTACTAAAATAATTTGAAAAACGAAACACAATTTTAAACGTTACAAGGATATATAAATCCAAGCTAAAGATTTAGTGCAGCTGAATTCGAGAAAAATGTGTAATATATAACAAAATCCTCAGATTCTAATAGAAACTCCTGCAAAAATCATTTACATAATTAAGTTTTATCGATCAAATTAATCAACAACTAACACATTATCATTATAAAATAATTGTATAACACAAGAACTTACATTATTGAATATAAAATGATGATGTTTTAACTATTAATTGATTTAATTTTGACAATTTATGTTGACAATTAAAATTCATAAAAAAAGTTCTACAAATTACGAGGTGAGTTGATTAATTGTATGCTTAAAAAAATATATGAGGTGAAAACACTAAGAAGGGATCTATTGGCTTTTTAATAAAAGCAATTTTTTTTATCACAATTTTTACAGCAAATGCATTATCAATGTAATCTTTTCATTATCCTCTAATAATATATTGTTAATTATAAAAAGTAACCATAAAAATTAATCAACCAAACTAATTTAGTAGAAACATATTTAAATACACAACTTAATTAATTACTTATTGAATACATTTTTAAAAAAAATGATATATACAATAAACTTAACTATAAATTTTTTAAAAAAATAAAAAATAAACTGTTTTAATAATTTATGTAAAAATATCAACACAATAAATATTAGTATAATATATTATTTATTGATATAAATCTTGAAAAAAGATATTAATAACTTATCTTTTATTGTATAAATATTGTACTAACAAAAACTATTCTAATACTTATAATTTATATATTAGAAAATAGCAAATTTCTTTTTGGGTTATTGATCCAAATAAGTTTACATGCAATAAAGAGTTTTTGAATATACAATCTACATAAATAGCATTATTTAAATTGTTTAATTATATCTTTTAGGCTATGTTTGGGAGTTAGGTTTAAGAGGAAATAAGATATTAGGAAAAAATTAATCTTGTTTGAGAGTTGCTTAATTAGGAGAAAAATATTTTGAGAGTTTTTTTAAAGTCTAAATCCTCCAAAATCCTGTTTTTTAAGTTCTCTCATTTTGAGAGATTTTCTCTCTCTTACTTTTTCATATTATTTTATAAATAAAATTTTTTTAACTTTTTTTTAAATATTAGTTTTTCAAGTAATAATTTTTTTAAAAAAAATTTAAAAAATAAAAATTTTAATTTTAAAATTATTTATATAATTAAATCTCATATCATCCCACTTTTCAATATTAAATATCCAAATAAGAGAGGAGTTTAACCTTCTCTTTCTTTCCCCTCCTTTTCCCTTCAAACTCTTCTCTTTCTTTTCCCTTCAAACTTTTAAACAAAGCCTTAATTATTTTATAATCAGCTGATATTCACACACTAGTTTTAAACTTTTTAGTTATCAACCAATATATTTTGTCTATATACCAACACAACTAAAGGGTTTCTACATTTTTCACTAAAATTTATGCCGAAT